TTTCCAGCAAGGTTTTAATTTCCTTCCTAGACCTACTATTCGAAAAAATTCCCCGTTGTGATCATTTTGTAATCACCCCCCCAACACCGAAAAATCAACCCCTCCGAGGCCATGAAACCTCCGGTTGGCTTGATGACTTTGGTATGCTTCTAAGAGACATGTTTTCGCAAAGGGTATCAGGAAATATACGGCCCCTATTCGTGGGCGCCAATTGGCATCACCTCTGCAATGCGCCATGCATGGGGCTTTCACGCAGGTGTTTGGAAGGTGTAACTTCTAGATAGCTTCCCAATTGCAAGCAAATGTGCTCCTACGATCAGAAAAGTCCTGGAAGTACTTTCATCCGCGTTTATTAATTCGTCACGTCGCATGATTCCTCAACGACGTGCTGCTAGTAGAACTACAAACACGGTACATTCTGCCATTGGGGAAAATGTTGTAGATCCTCTCCATGTCCTCCTCTGATTTAGCCTCCTCTGCTACAACTCCTGCTTCAAGCGACCCAACACGACCCCTTCGATGGGGAACCCCAACGTACACGACTTGCCCTAATGCATACACGTAATTTTATGTGCATGTGTATGTAGATTAGGTAGGTAGTTTTGGTATTTCTGCTGTCCTAATTGAGGAAACGTGTAGTGTAGTGAACACAGTGGAAGGCACCTTAATGCTTCTGAGCTACCGAATGCAAAATCTGACTCCAACTGGGAATGCCGTGGAGAATAGGCCGAGAAGATGCAAAGAGCACCGCGTGGAAGAGCCGTCGTGATCAGACGATGAAAACTTCATAAATGAACGACGCATGATTACTGTTCCAGTTGAATGTAACTAACTATAAGTCCGGCTCAGAAGGATTCTGCCACACTTCCTCCGGAATTCTCCTGTTTATGAAGCGAATCAACAGCGGCGTGAACCCAATTTTCTCCCTGTTTTCTCAACGAATAATAGTAACCTTCCGAAAACTCGGTCTTTGACAACCATTTGATTTTTCTGTGAACGGTCATGGAAGGCATGTTGTATAAAGTAATCACAACTTGGACAATACTCGGCATAGAATCATCAGAGGCCAGTTTGCGCATGGGCTACAGTACATACTCCGTATCCAGGAGATGGGGAGGGTTAGGTAGCTGTGCACTTCACTTGAAGTTGCGTAAATATAATAGTATCCAGTAGCCACCACGTTCAAACGAAGCGCGCAACTACGCCTTCCCCATCTCCCAGATACGGAGTGGAGGGTGTTAGTGGTCCACTGTCGATCCTATACTACGCTTTTGAAGGCTTGTGTGAAAGCTATGAGCTAACATTTGAACAATTTCATGAAGACTATTCCTTGCTCTCACCTCAGCTGCAGTTGAAAAAGATCGAGCAAATCATGAGACAATAGCGCCTTTTTGCCAACAGCTGATCGTCTGATAGTTGGATTCAAAGGAAACATTCCCCCCCGCCCTCCCTCCCCGCAGCACTAATAGATGGTTAGCGAAGCTTTTATTTGTAGTTATACCTACGGTCGGTTTTTCCCTAGTTGGAACTCTGTGATTCCTGTTGTCATTTTCTACTTTTTCCACGATAGTTCCGAATGGACCTCATAAGGCAAGATGCATAGAAGCAATAATCAATAAATGTGAGTTGTTGGTGTTAGTAAAATATACCTCGTCGTTTCGAATCAGGGACATGATATTGGGTTCTTCTTCCTTGTTTTGGTGCACTATGGAGTTCGAATGCTCAGAATCGTGTACAGCTTGGGGAGCATTTGGTAGATATCCCGTCATCAACGAACACTCCGGACTGAAATTATTAAACATTACCGATAATGATATTAAAAGCGGGGTTGGTGTAGTTGCAAGTATTTTACCACGCGCGCAGTCCTAAAACAGCTCCAGCTTGAGCCAGTCAAGGCTTCTACCCTTTGGGGACGTTAAATTCGAACCGAATTCGTCCGGGAGTCAACAACAACTAAACACATCGACTGGTCGCCGTAAGTCACTTTATAGGCCATATCGCATTCAACAACTCACGACGATGTGTGAAAATGTGTGGCGCATCCCAAGAGAATGATGAGAACGGCGGAGACATCGTCTTTTTATCTTTTGTTGCTGATGACAGACCAGAAGACAATGTCTCGCTTAATATTTCGCTTTGCCAGGCCTGAACATCGGAGCGGCTATTGGAAGCGAAGTTCGTGGCTGAGGAGCCCTCGTTAAATGGGTTTTTGAATTCTAGCGTGCACAGCCTAGTCTCTTACTTCGCGTGGGAGTGTTTACGGATTAGGATAGACTCGTGCAGAGTAAGGGAGCTATTGGAGCGCTGATGTGCCTTTCATTTCTTACTCTTCGGAGCGGCTACTCTCTAGAACTGCGCTCATAATCACAGGGGGGGGGCAAAAAAAGACACTTCGACCGAGTCACATATCAGCAAAGTTTTCGCAGCCAGAGAAGACGTGGATACGAGTACCAGGGCGGAAGATACCCAAGATGTTCCTCGATAAGCAGGAGCAGGCTCTCGTCCATCACCTTCATGTACACCAAAATATGAAGCCATCTCCAATCGCAGCCGGACTGGAGAAGGCCTATGGAATTCACGTCACCTCCAAACAGCTGCGAAACTTCTTGTATGGAGTCACCCATGGACAGCTACCTGGAGACCGGCACTCTTGATCTGAAAACCTCCAACATTGAGCAGCTCCGACAACGGTCCAGGATATCGAGGGCAGGGATATCGCCAAGGCACGGGTTGATGGTATTGGAAGTTCCTGGATGAGAAGACCGATATTCTCTTCGTGGACCCCGGACTGAAGTGAATGCGACGGTTACATCGACCAACTCGAGGAGAATATCCTGCCTTCATGTCGTCGCCTGTACCATCTTGGAAACTTCGTACTGCTACAGGATTGGGTGCCAGCACATGGAATCGAAGGGCGTTGGAAAATTCTCGCCTACTTGGAATCGAAGGGCGTTGAGAACCTGAAGAAGACGGAATATCCAATTGTGTCGCCTAAACTGAATCTCCTCGATTCACCGGGTCCGGGAGGAGCTCAACAGGGTGGTCTACAGTGGCGGAGAAAGTCAACGAATCGCTGAACTCAGGCACCGAATCACGGTCGCGTGGCAGAATCTCTCAACGGCATTTGTCCAGAAGGCTGTGGCAGATTTTTGTGATAGTGTACTATGTGTTGCTGAATTTAGCTGTGGAAATGTCCAATCAGAATTTAGTAAAATGTAAGGTATAAACCTCGGAAGTCCAGAAGAAAAGTGTCTTTTTTGCCTCTCCCCTGTGCATGGGTCAACCCATAGAACTTCAATGGGAGGAGTGAATAATATTCCTCTGTGATCTTCCTCAATTACCAATTTAAAGTCCATTGAAACATGGGAAAGACTTGAAGGCACTTTTAGCGTTAACGAAACTATAAGTTTTCAAATGGGTAAAATGATCCGGAAGGCGATTCTGAAGGGTGTGCTACCTTTAGAAGAAAAATTGGCAAGAAATCTGCTGGACGTTCATCAATTGGGCCTATCCCCTTATTAGGCCCATGGACCCCCTTAGGCCTCACCCCCACCGCTGCTAGCTACTACCTCGTAGCCACTATTCTCTCTCTCCATTTCGAATGGTGAAAGTGAGGTGATAAGATAGAAGAGCTGGTATCGTTCAGATAACGACGAGTGGAAAGTTGTACGAACGCGCCTTCTCTTCATTGAATGCACGTACAAGGGTCGGCATGAAGTCCTATTCAAGGTACTTAGGACTGTTTTTTCTGCAGCTTTCCTCCAATATTCAATTACCTAGCACTTTTTCCATTCGTATTTGAACTCCGTTACCCGGAAGCTGTGATCGTGGCCTTTGCCTTCAAACATTCCGCGGATCCCAACCTTTCCATTTTGGGATGAATGGGTTCGCAGTTGCGGTAACGTGCCACTTTTTCCACTCAAAGCTGCATGGAAACGAGGCTAAAGGCGTAGCGAAACCCTGGTCTGTCTCTATACTCCGCCCGAGCTGGCCAGCTAATGCCTAGTTGGAGTCAAATAACTTACGTCTGCCCCTCTCACTTCTGATTCATCTCTGCCGCTGAAGGCGTGTTTCGTGCGAAACCTCGGTATCGACGCAAGTAATGGGCCCTGAGGATGGCGCGGCAGAGTCTGGAGACACCATACTCTGCCGCGCCATCCACCAGGATATCGTTACCCTTCTGCCCCACTCCCGTGCAATTTTGAGCGTAGAAAGTGGTAAGCTACAGCAGCTGAGACCCATTTACCTCGCACATGGAAAAGAGTACCCGTAGGTAGGTGTACAGTTTGCTTCTCATGTTCACTCGATCAGATGTAGACCAACGCAACTGACGCCAAGTTCGACTCCCAATGAACCTCGGCTTTATATTAATGGATAACTGTTTCTTCCTATTGAACTGCACTCGACGGTTACAGGAACCTTTATTAGGTGGCTGACGTTTCGGTGGGTTCACCTTCTTCGAGCCTGCCAAATCCACCCGATTGCATTCCGGATTGCGATCCGTTCGAAAGCTCCCTGGACTGTTGAACACGTAGCTGACCTGTGGATCTGGCAGGTTCCGAAGAAGGTGAATAAGAAGAAACAATTATCCAAGACGACTGAAACGAACGGGCGGCTTTTTGTTATCTCGTAACTCTCTCGGAACTCGTTATCCACGGGGAACTTTCGATTCGATGAGGGATTCCAAGTTAAAATATTGTGAACCCGAATGAACTTACTATTAGGAGCCTTTGAGACATACGAAATTTGGCGGGTATGCCGCGCTTATCCCGGCTAGTAGGAGCCTTGACTTATAGGTACATAAATTACGGATCTGCGCAAATATTCAAAAGTGGAAAGCAGCGCAGGCCTTCATTTGCAGTAAAACGGGCTTCACTCTATGAAGACTGACAGGAGAAAAAAGAAACAATTTATCGTGACACAGTTCCCATCATCACTAGCAAACCCGCTGAGCGGTTCTCGTCGGCGGTAGCCATACGTACGCAACAGCTTGTTCATGCTCACAGTAAGAATGAACTTACATTTCGTATGGTTATCGTTTTTGTGAGACGATAGACGTTTACGTCTTCGTTGCAGTCCTTTTCAACATCGCGTTTCTCGATAAACTCAGCAACAACAACCGTCGGATGAACACGCGGTTTCGAACGACGGTACCACCACTGAATTGAACAGAAATGCATAGCAGACTTGGCTCGTTGTTAAGGGTAGAACTGCTAGGACAAAGTCTATGGAAGATTCCAGAGATTTCAGCCACTCACACCGCCATCAGTGTATTTAACAGGGGGTGAAGTCTTTTTTGGCGGCTCAAGTGGTGTTCTTGGGTGACTCCAATATTTTGCTGATATCATCGCCGACTCCTGGAAGAAAGGTCCTCACTGTTGATATGATTAACGAACAGATAAACTAACTAACCAACGATCTGAAATCTCTCTGATGAATCATCAACGATATCTGCATCTTGTTCGTCTTTGAATGATACGCCATCTTCCCCTTTTCCTTCTTTCTCCGACTTGGAGGCTTTCGAGGCGTTTTGGAACATTCGACGGACGTTTTTCTCTGTAATTCCGCGACTGATCACCTCTAAACGTCACCGTTGACTACAAATTCAGGCTGCGTCCGTTCGCCAGCGCTTGTCGGCCATTTTATCGAGACGGCTCTTACGATAGTTATCACAAGAGTTACGCCAATCTTGCAAATGCCGTGGCCGAGTTACTCGTCTCCCATCACGCAGCAGAACTTCGTGGCAATTGCTAATTAAACCAGGGTACTTTACATGAGCGCGGCACGTAAGTGTCACTAGATTTTCCAAGGAAAAAAGCCACCTGGGTTAGAAGCAGATTTTTGGAGAAAGCATGACTGCGTTATTAGTAATATCACAGAAGGATGCTGCAGGATGCTGGTGAAATAGTCACGTCCAGTTTTCGGGCTGATAAAGGTCTCCCAGATTACCCACCATGTTCCTATTCGTCGAAAATGCATGCTCATGTTTGACGACCTCCGTCCTGCCGTGGGAAAAGTTTTGTAAAAAGTCCCGCCTCTGGCACGCTCTGACCCTTTTCCTTTCTATCTTCCTTGAGGTTCCGGAAATCCTGCAACTCTTTCAACTTCCTTTTGACGTTTTTTTTTCAGAATTTCAAAAAATATCTGCGTCTTTCCCAAGAACCGTTGACCTGTTGTTCTGTTGTGCGAGAAAGAGGGGGGAGAGGACATTTGTTCTAAAGGCAACCGTTATCACCCTCATCCCTTCCTCAAGCTACTAAATATGATCCCCTCGCAGGTAATCCTCAGTTTACGGACGTCTCTCGCCTAACAGGTCCAATCCACTCCGTGTGCATGTGTGCGACAGAAAAATCATAACTTCCTTACTTGCTGCGAATCAGCCGCAGAGCGATGGAACTGGTAAGTCTCAGAGGTGACGTGGTGAAGTGGCGTGGCGCACGATAAGTGACAGAAAAAGGGAACGGTCGATAAAAGCTGATAAGGGGCGTCGGAAGGAGGAATTACGAACTTCATAGCGCTAGTGACAGTGGGACGATGGCTCTGTAAAGTGGTGTTGGCCGGGATCATGCATCTTATGTGACATGAAGTGATAATGGCTAACAGAAGTTGATAAGAGGTGTTAGAAAGGGAGGATCACTAATATGTTAGCGCGGATCATAGTAATACTGGTACGTTGGCTCCGAAAAATGCTATAGGAGTCCGAACAAGAGATCATGTACATATTGTAGGTGACATGAGGTGAAAACGGCTGGCAAGAGCTAGTAAGCAAAATAATTAAGGGGTGGCTCATTCTGTACTTCTACTGATTCCTTTTGCTAATTCATGATGACTAATAGGTGTCACCTGGGTGAGACTTCCAAAAACTCTTGCAGAGGTGCTAAATGATACATGTGAGCCACTTTGTTCACAGGAATCAATGGGTCTCCGCAGTACGGCATAGACAGGCTTTGCCGTGTACCCATGAACATTTTCGGCCACTTCCTGTTTCAGAAAGTGCACCGAAAATGTCGGTGTATACTCAAGCAGAGAAATAGTCTCTGAAGCATTATAACCTCGACGGTGTTTATATCTCAATAGAAAGTCTTCCATGCTTTTGTAGAGTGATGAGAAGTTTGCCCAGTGACTTCGTTCCACTTCATCCGGTATTGTGAAGCGGCAAGGCGGCTCATCTCCGTACCTGTAAGAGTAAGTTAGCAGTAGGGGATTTATCAAGCGTATGAGCGAAAAGTCACCGAGGAGAAACATCTTTCCATGTACAATTCGCTAGTTTGTTCGATGATATGTGTTTTTTTATGGAAAACTAAATGGAAACTTATTTTTAATTAACAACTATCATTTATAATAGCAATATATTCAACATCCTAATATGTTGCCTTCTGTCAACGTGTAGACCAGAAGTCAAGCCCTCGATCGAAAAGGGAGCTCGCTCTTCAGGAATCGCAGTTGCCAAGGTCCTTGAAGATGATTCACTGAGGCGCGGAAAAAGTGATACTGAAGGTAGACGAAGTGCCCGAGCTATACTTTCGGAGACGTGTCGATTTTGCGGCATGTGGTTGAGTTGTCATGGAACAGTAGGATTCTTCCGCCTCTTGAAGCCGTATGCTTTACTTTCCTTGGGAGTTAGAAAACCTCGTTATCTCTATCGATGATCCTCGCCCCTCTGCATCTGCCTCTCTGCATCCGTTCTAGCCTAACTCTTGCGGAATCTCCCCAACGACGTGTGATGGGGAAAAGGCAGCATATTGGTTATACTCTGCGCTGCACTATATTTGCAGAGCACGTGCGCCAAAAGAGTAGGGATGCAGAGCGGCGAGAGTCACAGAGACGAGGGGCATCAGTGGAGATAACGGCTGAGAGGGAGGTTTACCGGAGGATATCTCCCCACAAGGGAAGCATAACATACGGCTCCTAGCCGTGTAACTGTATGTTTACGCGCCATCTCTCTGCCAGCTTGCGGCACTCTGCGTTGATGGTGACATTTTCCCGAAGAAGTTTCCTGTGAATGACGTCCCGTCCATCCCACCAAATCTACAGCAACATCTTCAGTAAGTGAAATCTCTGTCTGGTCCTGCTTTGCATCTCGCTACCTCACTGTCGCTTTCTTTCATAGTTGGCGTAAAAGCACCATTTCTTATATTCCGTCACCAAAAAACCACGGCTACGACAAAGAGATTAAGTGCAATGTCACACCTGATTGAGCGCCACTGCGATGAGGTCGCGCAGCATGAGTTGCCCAAGCTCGGGAGATTTGCCCTTCTGGCGTTATGACGATGCACATTTTTTCGAAAGCATTTTCGAAAGCAAGCAACATTTGCTGCTATCTCCCGCACGGTTTTACGGAGATTCGCTTGCAATAAACGTTGTATGGTGGATCTTCACAGGAAGCGATCAACCATACGATCAGTACCTTCAAGACTGTAGTTCTTCCGGTAAAGTCAGCAGAACCACTTCGAAACCGCACTTCGTGCAGTAGCATCTGGCCCTACCACTAAGCATATGTTTCGGTGGACTTCAACCTCTATCTCCTTGGAGGTACTCGTGAAGGGATACAGCCATAGGACAGCATGTTGATTTTTTGTGAGGTACTCGGCCATGGTCTAGTTGAATATACCGTGGCGAGAGACCATAGGATGCTCTTCTTATACACAATTTATGGGAATTTTCGGAAGCGGACAAAAAATTGCAACCCTTATCCCGTAACAAAGTAGGTGTGCCTTTTGAGCATGAGCATGGCGTAAAGGGTTTCTCGTCCGATAGTTCATTTTAAAGACACATGGTACGCTCAAACACATTGAGGGTGTATGAGACTATCAGCCCCCCAGCTGTCGATGTGTCGTGGTCCCCCCGCCCAAAACTGCACGGGGTCAGAGTACGGGGCCGTGGGAAAGTCGTAATTCCTTGCTACACCGCCCTCACGTTTATGCTAACACCATCCGCGCGGCGCGGTCGCGTGCAGCTCTCTTGGCTTTTTGCCAAGTCCTGTAATTGCGCTTTGGAATACAAGTACAACGCAATTTCTTTATGCGGATAACATTTTAGGTGCTGCAAAATAAGAACTGAAGATGATGACGAGGGCTAGAACTCAAGAGCAACTGTGGTGCTTCTGCAATATCCCTCAGAGGCCGCGCATTCCCACAGAACATGACAATAAAAACGGCCTAAGCGTCCCACTCGTTAGTTTGAAGTATTTCTATAGCTTTAGAGCCGGATTCGAGCCGGATCGCAGAAATGCACACGCGATTTTAATTTATTGCGTTTCCTTAGTTTTTTCAATTTTGTTTTATTTACATCTACATTCGTTGTTCTTCATTTCTAGCCTTTGTCATCTTCATCACCTTCTATTCGGACTTTGAAGCATGAGCAATACCTCAAATGTTAGGAAATTGCGTTTTGCTTGTATTGTCATGTTTTATTGTCATGTTGTCCGTTTTTTATTTTCTGTGGGAATGCGCGGCCTCTAAGGATATTGCAGAAGCAACAGTTGGCTCGCTGAGTTCCGTAGCCCGAGCGTCATTCACTTCGGTTATATTTTGCAGCACCCTAAATGTTATCCGCATAAAGAAATTGCGTTGTACTTGTATTCCAAAGCGCAATTACAGGACTTGGCAAAAAGCCAAGAGAGCTGCACGCGACCGCGCCGCGCGGACGGTGTTAGTAAAAACGTGAGTTTGCGAAGGGCGGCGCAGCAAGGAATTGCGACTTCCCCACGGCCCCGTCTGACCCCGTGCAGTTTTGGGCGGGGGGACCACGACACATGGACAGGTGGGGGGGCTGATAGTCCTCAATCCACCCTCCCATGCTGTGGACGTACCATTTCTTAAGAAACTGTCATCATTGTTCTGTGTTAGACAGAGCACCGGACACAATGGTCCATTACGAAAGTATCCCACCAAATCAGTACCACTGCCCCTCATCTGAGTCGGCAGCGAGGCCTACCTCATCTCAAAGCACGAATATGAGCAATCTGGTAGCAAGTGCGTGAAGTTGGTGCAGAATGAATGGGTCCGTGTAACTCGCGTTTTTGTGCGCTCGTAAAGGGCCTTCTTCTTATAGCTGTTCCCATTATTTTTCTACATTATATATCAAACTGCACGTACATCTTCTATTCCGTGAACCCTCCTACCTATGACGGACAATCAAAGACGGTGCTCGGTTTTCCTTGCCCATCATTAGGATGACTCACTTATGAAAGGAGAAACGAATATGAATAAGAACAACACATCTCTCAGTACACATACATGAGGCAACAAAACCAGTGAATGTGGGAAAACTGCGCCGAATTTAAGACATGTAAAAAAAAAGCATGAACACTCGTTTACAATCTCATAAAATTAAGAACGCAAAGGTATGTATAGCTCAACTGCCGCAGAACCCACCTGAATACTTCTCTCGGATTTCTCATTCAACATATTGAAATGGGATCTTGCCTCGGGCTGGAACCACTGGTGCGGTATTAC